TAGGTCACCTGCATAGTGCAGTAAAAAGCACCAAGAGTGCCCTGAACTTTCAGAGCCCCTGTGTAACTTTAAAATATGTTATTAATTTAATTGTCATAACCGTCGGCCCACTGTGGTATACAGATAGCCTGGCTGAAAAACTAATACTAGGATCGATCAGCACCATCCTACCTTGGATCTGGGCAACCCAATACGTTGGGTGTGTCCCCAGCCTCACTGAATGAGCACTCTCCCCTTCTCTTGCAATCATCCCAAAAGATCTTTTTGCCTAGGTTTACACACATGTGATGTAAAATTGCCCAATTTAGTAATGCGTTTCAGGGAACTGCAGCAATGCAAATCACTTGCATTGTGTGAAATGCGGTTTTAATACAGCATATCTATCTATCTCTCTCTCTCTCTCTTAAAATTACATCTAGAAATATTGATTTATAACTAAGCAATAAAGTGAAAGTTTCAATTCTGACATTTGTCCTGTAAAATAGTCATGCACTTCCCTTGCCCAGGCACCCTGGTTTTGCAGCCTCATTGATGCTTATCTGCAGTGTGAGACTCTGCTTTTTTTTTTCTTCTGGCTACTCTTGGGAAATATTGAGTACGATTTAGAAACATCACTACTGTGCTGCTTCCAGTTCTCCTGGGGCCGAAGTTGTACCTTTTGGACTTGAAATGCAAGGAACACCCTTTGTGTACTACTTTTCATTCTTTGGATCTAGCTTGCCTTCACCTCTCCTGCTGCTTCCTGAATATTCCTCCATTAGTCATCAGATCATGTTAGAGATTCTGCATATAACCCTACAGGACAGACAGTGCTCAGTCCACATCTGCTGCTTCTCTGCAAACAGGAACCAGGAACTTTATTATGGAAAAAAAGACAGAGTTTAACCATAGATGAAGCTTCAAACTTATAAACATTGCCAACTACTGGTTGAAGAATATATCTTTACTGAATACTGATGTACAGCATATATCAACACTGTATTCCAACACCCCCACTCGACAACTACTTCTTATTAGTCCCATTTTGGATCTCCGTTCTATAAATCTGTTTCTTGTAAGCGGTTTTGTCAAAGCATCTGCAATCCTTTTACATTTTATTCATCCAGACCATGAATGTAATGATGTCTGATGTCAGTATGCTTTGTTCTTGCATTGATCTCATTGGTGGCAAGTTTGATAAATCCTTAAATTGTCCTCATATAAGATTGTAGGCTCGGACATCGGCTCTCCAAGATCTTCAAGCAATTGACGTAACCACACAGCTTTACACTGGCATAGGCAGCAGCAATGTATTCTGTCTCTGTAGAAGGCAAAGCTACTGAGATCTGCTTCTTGCTGGACCAAGATATAGAACTGTTTCCTAATTTGAACAAGCAACCACTTGTGGATTTGTGAGTGTTTAGGCCACCTGCCCAATCAGAGTCCACATACCCTACAAGGTTCAAATCCCCAACTGTGGACAGCTTCAGACTCAAGTCTTTAATTTGTTAGTGATATCTCGTGACTCTCTTAATTGATGTCCAGTCTCTTAGATGTGGCTTACTCACGTGTATACAAAAAAGCAACATGGCAGCTGCGATGTCTGGATGTGTAGTGATTGTAATATGTAGCATTGGACCCACTACTTGTCTAATAATCCCATGCTTGCCAAAATTGTGTAAAATTGTTTTTGTTTCCAAACTAAATAAAGAAGAACAATCAAAAAATCTTAAGTACAAGTAAAATGCACCAAATAAATCTACCTTGTTGTTGCAAGCGCCTCATGTGTTGCCACATCAAACAGTGTACATTGCCAAAATATTGCTGCACAACTCCAACAATATTAGTTTTCCCCAGTACTTTATAGTTTGTGGTGGCATTCTGTGAATGAATGAACTACAAGTCCCGACAGCTTTTGCGGCTGTCGCCTTGTAGTTCCCAATGAGCTACTATGGCGCTGTGGAGCGCCGTGGTAGTTCATTGATTCTTCCTGTCAATATGTCTGGTTGCCCGTACAGGCAAGCAGATATACTGACTGGTCTGCAGGAGACCTGCATGGCACCAGCAATCTGCTGACTGCTGATACAGTGCATTACAGGCTCCAGAAATAAAAATAATGCAGATTTACCTTAAAAAAAAAATGTGCATTTATTTTTTTTTTTGTAAAAAGGTGAACATATCCTTTAACCACCTCATTGCAGTTCAACTGTAACAGTTCAGACTTTTGCGATGGCACAACTGTCATCTTGTAAGGTCACTACATTGCCTTGTTTTGTGAGCTTCTTTACTGACAAGAGAAGAGTTTCAAAAGAAGGCAAATACAGGACATTTTTCAGAGATATCTTTCTTGTGACACTCTGGGAATTAGAACAGTAAAGAAAGCGCTCTCCTATTCCTTCTGATTCCATGAATTGCCTATTAGCTGTGGTGGTTTTTTTTATTTTCAAGGTGAATAAAGAAATTTCTGTCTTTTGTCATGTGACTTATAGCGCCTGAATCAACACACCATGCCTGCAAAGATGAGATGCAAATTTTGGATTGAAAAACATTCATTTTTTTTAAGAAAAATCAGTTTCTTTCTTCACAATTTTGGCCTTTTGAAGTTTTTAGTTTGGTTTTGCATTCTAGCTTTACAGATTCTGCAGTCTGCTTTTAAATGACCTTGTTTCTTGCGCACAAAACATTCATGTGTTTCTTGTTGCATGTTACTGTTTGTATTCCTTTTTTTTGTCTTTAAAGCAGATTCTGCGATAGAAGCACCGTCATTATTAATGCTTTCTGTTTTACACGTATATTCATCTATAAGCTTGCCCTTAACATATTTCAATATCAGTTCATCTGGACATGCATCAAGTGCTGTGACAAGCGTTTCTTAACTTTCTGGTAAACCACTAAGAGTGCTGCCATATGAAAATCTTTTATTTCTTTTCCTATACCCCTCAGGCATTCAACCATTTTCAGTGTGTGCCTTGTGTAATCTTGCATATCCTGGCCTTTTATCAGCTTGGTTTGGTATCACTTTCTAATCAAATACAGTTTATTACTGAGATTAGCTCTTTCATGCACCTTTTGTAATTCTTCCCACATTTCTTTATCAGTTTCACACTTGCATGTATATATGATTTTATCATCTTCTATGCTGAAAGACTGTGCTTTGAGCTTTTTGATCTTTCTCTCTCCACTCATCTGAAATGTGTTTTGGCCTGACTTCATTTATACACTTTTCCATGTATCTTCTCTTATTAGCAGCATTTTCATCTTCATTTTCCAAGACTGGTAGTTCTGGTTTGATAGATTTGCAAACGTAAGCTTTGTTGCAGCTGTGTTACTGGCCATTTTCATTTATTCTTTATCAGTCTTCTTTCTGTTGCTGCATCTTGCACTTGTTTGCTTTAACTGGCTATGACTAGGTGTCTGGGCCCATAACCTGTTAAAGATACTGTATATATAGCCCTACAGAACAGACAGTGCACAGTCTACATGTGGTTATCTGCTTCTTCTCTGCAAACCAAAACCGAGCTGTATAATAGAGAAAAGACAGAGTTTAACCATAGATGCAGCTACAAACTTATAAACACTGCCCTCTACTGGTTAAAGAATATATCTCTACTGAATACTGATGTACAGTAGTTGTTGCACAAAATTCATGAACATTTTATTCCAACAGATCACAAGTCATCCATGGTGCAGCTCTGACATAAGGACGCAAAGCCCTGCCTTTATAAAGATGGCGAGTCAACTGTCTTCCTCATAGCAATGCATGACAGTGTGTCTCCTGGCCCTGAGGCACAATGTGGTGTGATTGGCTCTGTTGTGAACCCACCAGACACCAGCCCCTGCGGCTGGTGTGAATAGTCCCTGACAGCGTGAATAGGGTCCAAGGTTTCAGGCCTTTACACTCCTGCAATTACCGTATTTTTCACTCCATAAGACGCACCTGACCATAAGACGCACCTAGGTTTTAGAGGTGAAAAACAAGAGAAAAAAAAATATTCTGAACCAATGGACTGCAGACACAGTACAGGGGATGACCAGAGACTGCGGACACAGTACAGGGGATGACCAGAGACTGCGGACACAGAACAGGAGATGACCAGAGACTGCAGACATAGTACAGGAGATGACCAGAGACTGCGGACACAGTACAGGAGATGACCAGAGACTGCGGACACCGTACAGGGGATGACCAGAGACTGCGGACACAGTGCAGGGGATGACCAGAGACTGCGGACACAGTGCAGGAGATGACCAGAGACTGCGGACACAGTACAGGAGATGACCAGAGACTGCGGACACCGTACAGGGGATGACCAGAGACTGCGGACACCGTACAGGGGATGACCAGAGACTGCGGACACAGTGCAGGGGATGACCAGAGACTGCGGACACAGTGCAGGAGATGACCAGAGACTGCGGACACAGTGCAGGAGATGACCAGAGACTGCGGACACAGTGCAGGAGATGACCAGAGACTGCGGACACAGTACATGAGATGACCAGAGACTGCGGACACAGTACATGAGATGACCAGAGACTGCGGACACAGTACAGGAGATGACCAGAGACTGCGGACACAGTACAGGAGATGACCAGAGACTGCGGACAGTGCGGACAGTGAGGGGATGACCAGAGACTGCGGACACAGTACATGAGATGACCAGAGACTGCAGACACAGTACAGGAGATGACCAGAGACTACGGACACAGTGCAGGAGATGACCAGAGACTGCGGACACAGTGCAGGGGAGATGACCAGAGACTGCGGACACAGTGCAGGAGATGACCAGAGACTGCGGACACAGTGCAGGAGATGACCAGAGACTGCGGACACAGTGCAGGAGATGACCAGAGACTGCGGACACAGTGCAGGAGATGACCAGAGACTGCGGACACAGTGCAGGAGATGACCAGAGACTGCGGACACAGTGCAGGAGATGACCAGAGACTGCGGACACAGTGCAGGAGATGACCAGAGACTGCGGACACAGTGCAGGAGATGACCAGAGACTGCGGACACAGTGCAGGAGATGACCAGAGACTGCGGACACAGTGCAGGAGATGACCAGAGACTGCGGACACAGTGCAGGAGATGACCAGAGACTGCGGACACAGTGCAGGAGATGACCAGAGACTGCGGACACAGTGCAGGAGATGACCAGAGACTGCGGACACAGTGCAGGAGATGACCAGAGACTGCGGACACAGTGCAGGAGATGACCAGAGACTGCGGACACAGTGCAGGAGATGACCAGAGACTGCGGACACAGTGCAGGAGATGACCAGAGACTGCGGACACAGTACATGAGATGCCTAGAGACTGCGGACACAGTACATGAGATGACCAGAGACTGCGGACACAGTACATGAGATGACCAGAGACTGCGGACACAGTACATGAGATGACCAGAGACTGCGGACACAGTACAGGAGATGACCAGAGACTGCGGACACAGTACAGGGGATGACCAGAGACTGCGGACAGTGCAGGGGATGACCAGAGACTGCGGACAGTGCAGGGGATGACCAGAGACTGCGGACAGTGCAGGGGATGACCAGAGACTGCGGACAGTGCAGGGGATGACCAGAGACTGCGGACAGTGCAGGGGATGACCAGAGACTGCGGACAGTGCAGGGAATGACCAGAGACTGCAGACAGTGCAGGGAATGACCAGAGACTGCTGACCTTTGGGGAGGGAGGGGGAGCGGGTACCTGAATTTGACAGGTACCCGCTCCCACTTCCGCGGAGTTGTCCTTCCCTCTTCTTCCCGGGCGGCTTCTGTGACAGCCGGGTGCCCACTGCGCATGTGCGAGAAGTGCTGCGATTTGTGAATGGCCCGGCGCCTTCTGGGACCTTTCATGTGTCCCAGAAGACACCGGATTATTCACAAAGCGCAGCACATGCGCAGTGGGCACCCGGCTGTCACAGAAGCCAACGCGGGAAGACTGTGCAGCGCTGGAGCGAGGAACAGGTAAGGCCTTGCAGGAGACAACAGCTGAGCGGCCGGCCCGGTATTCTGACATGGTGGCCGCAAAAAATACCGGACCGGCCGCCTTATATTCGCTCCATAAGACGCACTTACATTTTCCCCCCTTTTTTTGGGGGGAAAAAAGTGCGTCTTATGGAGCGAAAAATACGGTACTTTTTTCTATGTACAGAAAAAGTCATCCAGGTGGTTTAAACAACTTTTATGCCTTTCAAATCATTTTTTCATGCCTAAATCTGCTTCAGAGCAGATGTAGGCATGTTTAGACACATTTACATACATTTAGAGTGTCTAATTGGCTTCTGGATGCACAAAGTCCTATTTTCTCAAAACACCTCTAAACTGACCGCACCTACACACAGGTAAACACAGTGTGACTGGCACTGTTGAAAATCATTGCAGGGTTATATGTGTGTCCTAAAAACAGAGGTTTCACAGTGCCAGCATGAATAAAACCTTGTGTATTATATGGCCCTTGTGTGTCCCTTCATAGCTTTTGAAAGCAAAAAATGTTGATGAGATTTTCTCATAAATGAGCCATCCTTTTATAGATTTGTTCCTTTTTTAAAGTGACGGGCTAATTGGCAAGTTGCAGCTTGAAGTAGGAGTGGCTAGGCAGCTCTTCACTCTGTAGAGTTTATTTTTGCTGTTCTGGGTCCCCTCTATGAATTCCATATTAAATGCTCATTTGAAAGGTTGGCAAATATTTAGATCACCCTCGAGCTCTGTGACCTGCCGACCTTTCAGCACATTCTTCAGAGGAGCTCTGTCTTACTACGTTTTACTGCACAGAATAAAATTACAGTTGTGTTTTCTGACTGGGCCAAACCAAACATGCATTGTTCTTCCAGCACTGCTTTCTTGCAGTGTGTGTGTATTTTGTCAAGTTCCTGGGGTGGTTTTATAATGGGGCAGGAGCATTGTGGGGTTTTTCAATTAATCGGGCTTTTGTGTGCTTACTGCTATGCAAATGTGTAATTCGCAGTCTTTTAGGGGCTTCTGGGAAAGCTGTGTACCAACTTTATTGTTCTTGCTGCCTCTACAAAAGCCATATTTAAATTAGATTGTTAATAACATTTTTCTGCTTTTTAACTGGACAAGATTTCCTGAGCGAAGTTCACCAAGTCTTTTCTTTTTCCTCTTTGAAAATATACAGTTGGCTTCTAGTGTTGTGTGAATTTTAAAAGAATCAAATACAGCATAGTAGTGTGGCTTTGTTTAAATAGAGACGTTTTCAAAACTTTTAAAAAAATATATATTTTGCAAATACTGTTATGTGCATATGTATACATGGTCGATGTTGATACTATTTGATGTTGATACTATTTTATTTTATTTTTTTTTTTAAATTTTAAGTGTTGAGCAGATGAAGTAGGAACATTGCTCCAGGAGATTTTTACTTGGGTTTGCAATTTATGATTTTACCAGATGTTTGTAATAAACTTAACATTTTTGTAATATTTTTCCCACAGTTTTATTGACAACATTCATATCCACATGATATCTCTAAAACCATTTTGTAAATTTAAAGGAATTGATAACTTCTTTCTTGGTAGAACTTCTTGGGGATTCAAAAAATCTTTTTTGCCTTTTTTTTTTTTTTTTTTTTTTTTTATTGTTTCAAACCTGTTTATTGAAAAGCAATGTAAACCACAGCCTAGTATGGTTTACATTGCAGGGGTTACTTTTTTTGGGATTAGTAAAACTTTTAAATTTTTTTTAAGTAAGATGTTAATATCAGTAGTATATACCGGTAACTGTTTTCTTAAAACTTTTTACACAGGGAGCAAATAAAAAAAGTAGACTTTAATATTTGATTTATTATGATATGTCTTATCATTTTCATAAATTTCCAGTGTATAAAATGCAATCTTTAATGAGAATGAATGAGGATTTGCAGAATTTTGGAATTAACATTTTTGAGTTCTTTTTTAAATGTGATCTTCTAAGTAGCATCACTGCATGTTACATTTTTTAAATATCTTGCTTTTTTTTTAAAATTAAAAATCATATTTCATAATAATTTGGTTTCTGTAAGCCATTTCCGATTTTTTTTTTTAAGCTACTATTTATTGCACAGATCTAACATTTGGCTTTAGATTTTTAAGTTTTAACTTTAAAATCTAAAATATGCAATTATAATTTTGTAAATCAATATACACTTTGTTTTATTGGTGTTGGCAGTCCAATTGTTTAGAAATTCCCCTCTTGAATGCAACAGTTTTCAGTTTTGGGATTACATTTTTATCTTTACCTATCTTGGCGTTCATTAGTTCAAACTATAACTTATCTTAAGCTCATTATGCCCCTTTTGTGTTATCTTGTATTAAAATCTGTCAGCTATGACTGGTCTTCCAGGCACAGTCAGCGGAGCAGAATAAGTTAATTATTTACTTGTGTCACTCGGGCCCTTCATCTAATGAAATGCACAGCTGTGTTGGATCTGTGGATGGCTGTGGAGATCCCATTGTTACACGAGTCAGCAGAGGGTAGGAGCCGCAATGATGGAGAGTCCCCACTTCTTTCTGCTGTTTTGCCTTTCTGTGTCGATTTCATGGTTCTTTTATCACTCACTTTCACACAAAACAAACAACACAGCGACAGTCTGCTATGGGAACCGACTTGGCACATAAAAGGAGTTCTCAGGGGTTGGCTCTTTCCAAGGTACCTTTAGTGCACATTCGCCTTTTACAGTGTCAGAAGGTGTTGTTTACAAAAAGTACAGTACAAGAAACAAAGTACAGTATTTTCATAAGGTGTCAAACACTATAGTATTCCGTCAAATACAAAAAGTATAACATTTTATGGGGAGCCATAAATGAAATATTGTTTTGGGAAGTGTAAAAAGTACAGAATTTGGTCATCGGATTTTACCTTCTTGTAGCTGATACACCTTTTTTGATTAGGGAGTAGCTGTGACTTTGCACATCCTGTTAGACTTGTTTTGAGTACTTTTTTTCCTTCTTTAAAATAAATAAAAGATCCAGGGGAATGGTAAGGGATTGAAGAAGCAGGGAAATGTTTACTTGAATCTTAAACACCCTATACATCCCTTTTTCCTGCAGTTTTCATGCCAGTTTGATGATGTTCTAGGTCCTTTCTCTTCTTTCTCAATTGTGGCAGTGAGCAATCTTTTTCCTTGAATTGAACCAAGCTCATGTATTGATGTGGGAGCACTCAACCCAGGAGAGTGTTGTAAGACCAGGCTTTGTGATAACACTCCCCCACAAGGTGTGCCCATGACAGCCTGGGCTTACAGGAAATGGGTGAATGGCACGGTTTGTCATCTAACCCTGATAAGACTGGAGGATTGTTTAGTGGGTGCCTGAGGGGTATAGGAATCACCACTTTTTTTTTTTTTTTTTTTTTAGATAAAAACATTCTCCTCTGGGTGATTCATATACATTTCTAGGATTTTAACCAACTTTGTTGCAGATTCCTACCTGATAGCTCTTTGTTAAGCTGGGTACACACTGGCCAGAAATTGGCTGGTTGAGCAGGAACTGGGTAACTTTTGGTCAGTGGACAGACCAACAGAAACTGGTCTGACGACTGGCTATTGTCGAAGGAACATGCTGGAAAACCAGCATCTAATCCGTGCTCGCAGCCAAAATACAAAGACACAGCCGGAGAGATTGCCACACCAACTTCACTTGTGTTGGTACAGCGATCTGCAAGTGTGTACGGGGCTTTAGATTATGTCTTGTGTAGGACTAATTGTGACTTTTTTATTTTTGATCAGCTGACACACTTGCTGAGTTCTGATGAGGAGAGTGGCAGGGTCTGCATTCTTTTAGAAGTGATTAGCCCTTTAGGAGCATCTCACCAAAACTAAAATTTTAGTTCCAGAGGATGCCTAAAATCTGACATCTGTCTTACTGCAGATTTCTGGTAACATCAGTGAGCCAATCACACAAGCCGGAAATTACATCTCTCTGTCCATACCAGCTGTGTAGGGAACGCCGCCATGTTGCCATATTGCATTGAATTTGATGGAAAATTTCAGTGCTGCGAATTGAAAATATCATTTTTAATAACAATCACCATATGGCTTGTGTCACAAATGTATACATTATATTTTTTTGTTTTTATTTGTGATATTTTTTTTCCCATGGAAGTGGAGTTACCTTTCTAAGCTCTTTCTGTGGTCTAGTAGTTTACATTAGACAAACATGTCTGCATTATCTGCATTATCTGATGAGGTGAGTTCTCCAATAGATATATATAAAACTGAACAACCATTCTATTTCTCTGTAGCTAACTGCAAACAAGAGATGAGCTTTCAAACATACCTTGGTTTTTTTTTGTGAAGCTAATGAGCTTACAGTACTAAGGCAGATTCTTTGAGTAGGTGAAATGCGCTTGAATGCCAGGCTAGTGGCTATAAGTAGAACTAAGGCCAAAATATTTTCCATTTTGAATAGAGTAAGGCAGGGTTATAACCTCTTTCATTTTGTTCCAATTTGTATCCCATTCGGGAGATTTCCCTGCACTTCTTATCCCATAGCCACAACAGGAACCCCTGGATGTCACCAGAAATACTTTACCCTTTGAAAGATTTCCCCTTGATTCCTGTTCTGGTGACAAACCAAAATTTGAGATACTTTCACTCTCTATGATAACAGTAATCAGCACAAATAGAGAAGGAGAATCTCCCTAACAGGCACAGACCACACTAAAAAGCTGACAGGTGTTCTAATCCTTCTCTGTTCTATCCGAAACAGAAAAAAAAAAAGTTTTGCACTTAGTTACACTTTAATACTTAGTTGGCCTACAGCATTTTAAATCCGTTCTGCCAGTCTTGCGGTCACTGCATCCCCCCACCAGACAGCATAGTTGGGATCTTTATCTGTGTAGTGTATTCAAAAACCTGCCCCAGCCGGTTGACTCAACACTAAAGTAGCTACATTACTCTGATGGTCATCCATGAGCGCTTAACTCCCATTAATAAGCTTAGATTTTGGATAAAACTTCAATTGGCTCAATGTGCTTCCCAGTTAGAGTGAAAGAGCACTGCTGTGCATTGGATGACAGAAAGCTAAATGAAAGAATTCAAGTACTTACAGTATAATAGTTGTGTTTTAGAACTGTGATTTAATAATAAATATGTACATAACTGGATTACATTTTTTATATACTATATATCTGCATAAAGTTCAGATTTAACTCTTTCCTGCGGTGTCTACTTAAAGCGAATTTAAATCCACAAAAACATTTTTCATATATTGCATTTTACCTGTTCTTGCCTTGAAAAACAAGAACTATCTGTTGTGCTTTTCCTATGAATCTACTATGTAATGATGATGAACAGAGTCAGACATGTTTGAAGTCCAGCCTGTGTGACAACCATGGCTATACAGTGGATATAAAAAGTCTACACACCCCTGTTAAAATGTCAGGTTACTTTGATGTTAAAATATGAGACAAAGATATATACAGTCATGGCCGAAATTGTTGGCACCCTTGATATTTTTCCTGAAAATCAAGTATTTCACACAAAAAAGGTATTGCATTAACACATGTTTTGCTATACACATGTTTATTCCCTTTGTATGTATTGGAACAAATATAAAACAGAGGCAGAAAAGCAAATATGACATAATGTCACACAAAACCCCAAAAATGGGCTGGACAAAAGTATTGGCACCCTTAACTTAATATTTGGTTGCACACCCTTTGGAAAACATAACTGAAATCAGTCGCTTCCTATAACCATCAATAAGCTTCTGACACCTCTCACCCGGAATTTTGGACCACTCTTCCTTTGCAAACAGCTCCAGGTCTCTCTTATTGGAAGGACACCTTTTCCCAACAGCAATTTTAAGATCTCTCCACAGGTGTTCAATGGGATTTAGATCTGGGCTCATTGCTGGCCACTTCAGAACTCTCCAGCGCTTCTTTGCCATCCATTTCTGAGTGCTTTTTGACGTATGTTTGGGGTCATTGTCCTGCTGGAAGACCCAGGATCTTGGACGCAAACCCAGCTTTCTGACACTGGGCCCTACAGTGCGACCCAAAATCCTTTGGTAATCTTCAGATTTCATGATGCCTTGCACACAGTCAAGGCACCCAGTGCCAGAGGCAGCAAAACAACCCCAAAACATCATTGAACCTCCACCATATTTTACCGTAGGTACTGTGTTTTGTTCTTTGTAGGCCTCATTCCGTTTTCGGTAAACAGTAGAATGATGTGCTTTTACCGAAAAGCTCTATCTTGGTCTCATCTGTCCACAAGACGTTTTCCCAGAAGGCTTTTGGCTTACTCAAGTACATTTTGGCAAACTGTAGTCTTGCTTTTTTATGTCTCTGTGTCAGCAGTGGGGTCCTCCTGGGTCTCCTGCCATAGCGTTTCATTTCATTTAAATGTCGACGGATAGTTCGCGCTGACACTGATGCTCCCTGAGCCTGCAGGACAGCTTGAATGTCTTTGGAACATGTTTGGGGCTGCTTATCCACCATCCGGACTATTCTGCGTTGCAATCTTTCATCAATTTTCCTCATCCGTCCACGACCAGGGAGATTAGCTACAGTGCCATGGGTTGCAAACTTCTTGATAATGTTGCGCACTGTGGACAAAGGCAAATCTAGTTCTCTGGAGATGGACTTGTAACCTTGAGATTGTTGATATTTTGCCACAATTTTGGTTCTCAGGTCCTCAGACAGTTCTCGTCTCCTCTTTCTGTTGTCCATGCTTAGTGTGGCACAGACAGACACACAATGCAAAGGTTAAGTGAACGTCTCTCCTTTTTATCTGCTTTCAGGTGTGATTTCTATATTGCCCACACCTGTTACTTGCCCCAGGTGAGTTTACAGGAGCATCACATGCTTGTAACATTCTTATTTATCCGCAGTTGTGAAAGGGTGCCAATACTTTTGTCCAGCCCATTTTTGGAGGTTTGTGTGACATTATGTCGAATTTGCTTTCTTTCCTCCCTTTTTTTGTTTTGTCCCAATACACACAAAGGGAATAAACATGTGTATAGCAAAACATGTGTTAATGCAATACGTTTCGTGAGAAATACATGATTTCCTGGAGAAATATCAAGGGTGCCAACAATTTCGGCCATGACTGTAATTTCAGAACTTTTTCCACCTTTTAATGTAACCTATAAACTGTACAATTCAATTGAACAACAAGCTGAAATCTTTTACATGAAGGGAAGTAAAAATAAAAAAACTAAAATACTGTGATTGCTTAAGTGTGCACACCCTTAAACTAATCCTTTGTTGAAGCACCTTTTGATTTTATTACAGCACTCAGCCTTTTTGGGTATGAGTCTATCAGCATGGCACATCTTGACTTGGCAATATTTGCCCACTCTTCCTTGCAAAAACACTCCAAATCTGTCAGATTGGGAGGGCATTTCCTGTGCACAGCCCTCTTCAGATCACCCCACAGATTTTCGATCGGATTCAGGTCTGGGCTCTGGTTGGGTCATTCCAAAACTTTCATCTTCTGGTGAAGCCATTCCTTTGTTGATTTGGATGTATGCTTTGGGTCGTTGTCATGCTAAAAGATGAAGTTCTCCTTCATGTTCAGCTTTCTAGTAGAAGCCTGAAGGTTTTGTGCCAATATTGACTGGTATTTGGAACTGGTAATAATTCCCTCTACCTTGACTAAGGCTCCAGTTCCAGCTAAAGAAAAACAGCCCCAAAGCATAATGCTGCCACCACTATGCTTCATTGTGAGTGTGGTGTTCTTTTGGTTATGTGCAGTGTTGTTTTTGCACCAAACATTTCTTTTGGAATTATGGCCAAAAGGTTCAACCTTGGTTTTATCAGACCAGAACACATTTTCCCACATGCTTTTGGGAGACTTCCGCTGTGTTTTTGCAAAATGTAACTTGGGCTTGGATGTTTTTCTTCGTAAGAAAAGGCTTCGGTCTTGCCACTGTACCCCATAGCCCAGACATATGAAGAATATGAGAGATTGTTGCCACATGCACCACACAGCCAGTAATTGCCAGATATTCCTACAACTCCTTTAATATTGCTGTAGGCCTCTTGGCAGCCTCTCAGACCAATTATCTTCTCATCTTTTCATCAATTTTGGGATGTCCAGTTCTTGGTAATGTCACTGTTGTGCCATATTTTCTCCACTTGATGGTGACTGTCTTCACTGTGTTCCATGGTATATCTAATGCCTTGTAAATTCTTTTGTACCTTTCTCCTGACTAATACCTTTTAACAATGAGATCCCTCTGATGCTTTGGAAGCTCTCTGCGGGCCATGGCTTTTGCTGCAGGATGCGACTAAGAAAATGTCAGGAAAGACCTACTAGAACAGCTAAACTTTATTTGGGGTTAATCAGAGGCACTTTAAATGATGGCAGGTGTGTACTGACTCCTAAATAAAATGATTTTGGATGTGATTGCTTAATTCTGAACACACACTTGTTCAACTACATTATTTTAGTTTTTTATGTTTACTCCCTGCCTCCTCCAACCTAAAAGATTTCAGTTTGTTTTTCAACGTGGGCAAAGTTGTACAGTTTCTAGGTCACATTAAAGGTCGAAAACGTTCTGCAATAATTTCTTTGTCTCATTTTTTTACATCACAGAAACGTGACATTTTAACAGGGGTGTGTTGACTTTTTATATCCACTGTACATTAGCAAAAACCTATAGTCACACAATGTTTATATTACTATAATACACTGTATTAGTCTCTCAACAGAAAGAAAGGAATAAAAATCTTCCATGCTAAACAGTGTGGGTTAAATTTAGACAAATCTTATGATTCTCCCATCCTTGCTAGATAGCACTGGTGGATGAATCTGCAGTTCCAGGTACTGTATTCTGAAAGCCATCAACCATGACGGTCAGAATCCTCAAACAATGTCTGCATCTGACTGGATGGAAGCTTCTGTTCAGCGACAATTTTCCACCTGGCTCCTTCAACTTTCAGATCAGAAGATTTTGGATGGGAGATGGCTGACAGGGCCACCCACAGAGTGAATTTCAGCCGATTCATCAGAAACCAACTGTAATTTTCTCCATGTATGGCCAGCTTATAGCCTTGTACACCTGTACCAAAAAAAAGCCCAAATCAGTCTGTTCTGCAGGAAGTAGCCAGTTTATAGGTTACATTAAAGGTGGAAAAAGTTCTGAAATTATTTCTTTGTCTAATTTTTTTTTTTTTTACATCACAGAAACCTGACATTTTAACAGGGGTGTGTAGACTTTTGTTATCCACTATATGCCACATTGTATTGTCCTTTTCATAGAAAAGACTAAAATTTGGTCATAGAATGTAAACATTGTTTGAAATACATATACTCCCGTCAGCGCATGTCTCCGTTAGTTGGTACTGTGCTCATTAGGGCAAAATCTGTTTTTATTGCAAAGTCTGGAAAATTAAAATCCGTTTAGTTGAAAATTCGGTTTGCATCTGAAGCAGCCAGTTACCAGGTTTTAACATTTGTTGGTTTGATTTTCTTGCCAGGAGTGTGTGGCTTGATTGTTCCTCAGGAAGATATGCCATTCTGTGAGACTGGCATCTGCCCCGACATCATCATGAATCCTCATGGCTTTCCATCGCGTATGACGGTGGGTGAATGTTTTGTTTCTAATTATAAGCTCTAGACGAAGATAATTTACTATAGAGCATATTTGACAGGTAAAATAATTTCAACTCTGTATCTGGATAGAGTTTGATTCTAGTGCTCCGTTATTTGTTTTTGATGTGTACAGGTCTAGAGAGATTCTCTTCTTCATCAATTGTTTAGTGTGAATGACAGTTGGGTTTTCTTGTTGAATTGCCCTGTATTTGCCTCCATCCATACTGCCCTCAATCTTGTCTTGACCAGTTTACCAGGTCTTTACAATGAAAAGCATTCCTATAATTTGTTACCACCACCATGTTTTAACCACTTGCCGCCCCGCCGCAGTACATTCACTGCAGCAGGGCAGCATGTGCCGGCTTCTTTATGTATATACGTGATTGAGCCTGGACCAGTTTAGGAGCATGCAGCAGGCTCCTCCTGTGATTGCTATGGCTGTCAGCGGTATCTAGTAACCTGGTAGCATGTGATCATTATGATTGGTCATAGCAATCACATGATAACAAGGTAAACAACCTATCATGAATGGTTTCCCATTCATGAACAGCTTGCTTTCAGTTCCGTTCTGCGATTAGCCCACAGCAATTGCATGGTACCAGGCTACCTGTACCATGTGATTAGCTTAGCCAATCACGGATCACAATCAAAAGCAAGCTGTTTTAGCTAAAGCTATTGTTTATACAGTGCCAGTTTGCTTGCAGAGTGTAGCGGTTACTGGGATGAGGCAAACAATTTACCACTGGCAGGGGGGCTTACAGTGGTCAGTTTTTATTTATTTATGTAAAACCTTTATCCTAGAAGGAAAAAATAATCTATTGCTATAACTGCTTATAAAGTGTGAGCTGGAGTTAAGCTTCAATTTGTTTAGTGTATTTAAATCTGCTAGTACATATAACATTCCCCTCCCCCAAAACTGACAATGTTGCTGTTCAAAGGTTGCCTCTGTGCTCCTTCATCCAGAGTGGAGACACTCTAATACAGGCCTTATCACCAGGTGGAAACAGAAGGGAAAAAAGCCTAAAAAAAATGAATGCTGCAATATATTACATTTTGGTTTTGGGTTTAATACCACTTTAACATTACCACTCCCGTTGACAACCACATCAGCATTTTGTCCTTATGGTACTGGAAGTGAAAGTAATAACCTGGTTTTGGAGACATTGGGAACACTGAATGAATTCAATTCCTTGTAAGATCGTTTACTTCTAGTCCACAACATTTCCATTTGCTACAACAGAGAAAATTGTGGTGGTCTCCTGACATAGATATTGTTAGTATTTTACTGAAGACAAAATGGAATAGTATTAGAGGTCAAAAGCCAAGCTATAACATATACTTAAGTGACTTTATAGTATAGGAGGGCAAGGATCGACTTTATACTCCTTTATTTTTACTCTAAACATTTAAAAGTGAACTTCAGGCAGAGATGAAAGAAACAAATTAATACAGCTTCATTAATAATTAAATGCAGCTAGTGTAAGTACCTTTACAGCAGCACTCAGACTGGGAGTGGGAAAAGCAGGACTGGGAGCCAGTCCGGTGTGCTACATGTAAATGTGTTGACAAGGAACATGTTGATAGGAGGAGAGCAGAGAGATGGCCTCATCATTCTGTGGCTTCTCTATCTTTGTTCAGTCAGGTTGGAGGTGGAGATTTTACATTGCTGTGTCCCTTTTACAGTGTGCGCCTACAACCAAGAAAATGTTATAGTCTGCCTGGCTGTGTTATGTAACAGGTCTGTGTAAATCTTAGGACTGGATAGGTATAAATACAAACAGATAGCAGGCAGAACAGCTCCCTTATGTCTTTCATCCTCATATTAAGCTGTTTGCACCAAGTGTATTTATAAAGTTAATCTAAAGCCATAACTTTTTAGTTTTGGAGGTTTATAGAAAGAGGTAACATCTGTTAGGATTTTTGTCCAGTTGGGCAAATATACATTGACTTTCTGTCATGCAGACAGAACAGGAGGTGAGGGAAAATCTCTCAAAATAGAAAATCGTTACTTGGACTTGTCCCTGCAAAAAGTTTCTAAATTGGGAGATTTTTCTTCTATTCCAGTTCTGATAATCAAAATTTGGGATCTACTGTCAAGGTTACAAAGTTCTGTCATGTGTTAATACATCTCTTCTTCCAGATAGTGGAGAGGGGGGTTACAGGACACTGTGCAGACACACAGCATGCCTGTATTCCATAGAGGAAGAGGATGCGTGTCCGAGACAGGCTGTGATTGGTTGGGCTGTGTGGTGGCAGAACAAACGTCCCAATAGAGGCATGCTGTGTGTCTGCATAGTGTCTTGGACCTCTGAATGGCCAGCCAAAGGATAGAAACTGACCACACGAGCATAGATCAATTTCTATGCTTTTCTGGTCAGTTTAGAACAAGGGAAAAAAGGTGACTGGCAGGATCAACCAGATACAACAGATGGCAGAAGTACATGAAAATGATAGAGACTATGATTTATAAAATCCTCATTTAAAGACACTCATAGAAAAAAATATTTATGATTACATATACTTTAAAACACTAACTGGCACTCTTGGATATACAGCAAGCCTTCTATCAGTAGGCTGACTCACACCACACTTTGGAAATGGAATGCTTCTGATTAGCTCCTTTCTCAACCACTTATGCCTGCCTTTATCTTATTTCTATTCCCAACCATTAGACTCCTCCCCAAGGACCCAACAAGCATATACCGAGCCTGCTTTTGTTTGCTCAACATAGCACACCACAAAAGTCTTAAGTTCTCCATTCCCTAAAGATGAACCATGTTCGGAAACAATATCTGCAAACATCTAACTGATATACTGTGCCAGTTAAACGCAGTTTAGAGTTCCATGTGTTAGTCTCACACTCCACAGCCTAAATGCCTTTATCTTGTTAAATATAGTAATGTAGTGTATATCTCTAATTCTATGCATTGATGCAAACTGACTGGTCAGCTTCTAATTTTCATTCTCTTATGCAAACATATTGATTAACATTTCTGAATTCTGCTTTTTTAGTGTGGTCTTCTTGTGAAAAATTCATCTTCTATGAGGTCCTGATTGGTTTTTCTATGTGTGTATGCAGGTGGGAAAACTTATTGAACTGCTTGCAGGCAAGGCAGGGGTGCTGGATGGCAGGTTCCATTATGGAACGGCGTTTGGAGGCAGCAAGGTTAAAGACGTCTGTGAAGATCTAATACGATATGGCTACAACTACTTGGGAAAAGATTATGTTACCTCTGGAATCACTGGGTAAGACCTTCTTATTAAAGTGGGATTAAATATATTTGGGTGGTATCATGCTATAGATAGAAAGTTGATATGTTATGTATACCCTTTTGATCATTGTAATGTTGTCAGAATTAAATCAAGCACTGGTACTTCTATTGGGCTCTCCGTCGTGTGTATCAGTTGAGTTCCCTGATGCCTCTGAAGGGAGAACTGTTGTTGACGCACCCTCTGAACAAGTAAAATCTGTAGAAAGGCGTGATCGTTTTCTGGCTTTAGCTAGTGTGACACAAGCTTTTCATGAGTGCATTCTGTTTGATAATAGGATTTTCTTGCAAATAGAGCTGCACGTCTGATAGCATTGGAGGCATTATTTATTGATTTCTACATACACATGATGCACTGATTACCAACTTAGTGAGAAATGTTAAATGCAGTCACATTTTTTTAAAGAGACTTTGTCCCAAAAAAAAAGAAATTAAAAAATTAACCCTGCAAAAGATTCACAATACTTATTAATCTAGGAAATGGAGACTTCTACATTCACTGTCTTGCCAAGCTATGGCCATCAAAGAATCTTCAGCATTGGACACATCATCGTGTGCCTAGTCCCCAGTGTACTGTTATGTCATAGCAGCCTGCAGATGGAACCAGGAAGCATCGGAATGGAGGATTCTTTGGTGGCTGTAGCTCTGAAAGAAGGTGAAGATTTTGAGTCTCTTGGGAGACCTGCATTCCCATTCATAATATTTTCCAGCCAATAAAGGTCATGCTGATACATCAGAATTGAGTGGTTCCTGAAGAGCTGAATTAGCTGTATTTCCCTTAGATGCCAGTAATGAAATAGTACATTTTTCTGCATGTGCATAGATTTAAGCACTCCTCAGTCACTAGCTGATAGTACTCAGGGCTAGTTCAGCGCTTTCATGTGGAAAAGTCCTACTTTCTCACCCCATTCCCATCTTCAATGGCACAGTGGAGAATCCTCAGTTCATGTACTGTTATTATCTGGCACCTTATGCTTGTGTTAATGTACTGAACACAAGTCCAGTGTCTGTGTGATTTTTCTCTCTTATTCCTTGCAGGGAACCTCTTGAGGCCTATATTTACTTTGGGCCAGTGTACTATCAGAAACTGAAGCACATGGTGCTGGATAAGATGCATGCTCGAGCCAGAGGACCCAGGGCTGTCCTCACCAGGTACAGTGTACTTACCAGACATGTCTGTTTAGAAGCATGTGATCGGGTTTAAATAGGTGTGCTGTATGTAAAATAATACCTGACCACTTTCCACCAGCTGCACTACAGGTTTTATGCAGCATTTTCACAGAGAGCTGCAGAGTTAGAATTATATTCAGGGGAGGGTGTTGTACAGTTCCCGCCACTGCCTCCTGGCCCTTTAGGTGGATCGAAATGGCAGGAGCCGGAGGCGGGCATTCCGACATATGACCACTGTGATTGGCTGTTACAGCAGTCTCATGATCAAAAGCTCCTAAATGTATATATGCCTCTTGAACATTCAATGACAGTTTAGTTACTGTGCTGGAAGCTCGCAGGGAGCATGCTCTCAGCTTGTTAAAATATTTACAAATTGACGCATGTATGCAGCTGCTTGACATTAAAGCCCACCCTCCGAAAGGTTGCATATATGTGTGTGGCCTGCAGGAAGTGGTTAAAATGCTAACTTCAATGCTAAAATGCTAACATTTCAGGTGAGCTTGCACTAGAACTGCTTGATTACTTGGACAGATTGTGTATGATCAGATGCTTCTTTGGCTGTACCAGACAGGGAATGATGGCAAAGAAACTAGAGGAGGCAAAATCCTCGTAGTTTCCGGCTTCATTCATTACAGCGGAAATTGGGGAACTGATGTTCCCTCTCCATCTCCTCTGTGGGCAGCTGACCCGACCACCCACACCCAAAAGGCAATATTGGGAGGGGCTGGGGGGTAGGAGTTCTTCAAAATGTTGTAAAAGTGATCTGGTGGCCACTCAGATCACTTTTTACTGGAATGCCGACCGTAATAAAATTACACCAGGACCATACTTGCAGCCATGATCCCGTTTTAATGACTTGCTGCCCCTGCTGTATATATACATATGCTGAGCAGCAGGCAGTTAACACATATAAGTCATATAAACAAACTTTTTTTTTTTTTTGGGTTAACCACTTCCCGACCGCCCTATAGCAGAACTACTGCTACACGGCGGCAGGGCTGTGCAAAATCACGTATATATACTGTGTTTCCCCGAAAATAAGACACTGTATTATATTTTTTTTTGGCTCAAAAAAACACACTAGGTCTTATTTTCGGGGTAGGTGCTATTTTTTTTTAAATGTCCAGGTGTGGACAGGGGGTGCAGAGATGAGCTGCAGGCAGTTGTGGATGAGGGTTACTATGGAGAGAGCCGGTCGATGACTGTTGTGAGCTGCAGTCAGCTGTTGCAGGGGAGACTTGACAGGTGAGTTTCAGACAGGGTGCAGATATGAGCCACAGACAGGGTGCAGGGGTGAGTTGCAGACATGGGATGCAGAGGTGAACTGTGACAAGGGGTGCAGAGCTGAGCTGTGGCTGGGGGGTGCAAAGGTGGGTTGCAACTCAGCTCACCTCTGCACCCCCCCAGCTGCAGCTCACCTATGCACCCTGTCTGCAACTCACCTGACTCAATTTACCTCTGCAACACCTGACTGCAGCTTACCATTGCACATCCCCCCCCTCCTCCTCCACTGTCCTCATATGGTTAGCTAGCTTTGAAAAACACAGCTGTCAGCAGCCGACCCCTCTCTATAGTAACTCCCGTTTTGGGTCCTATCTTCCCACACAGTGCACCAAGTGCACTTACTCACCGCTCCGCCTCTTCCCTACTGGCCGGTGATCACCCCTGGGGCATCGGCTTCCATGCATTAAGCTGCAGGAGGAGATGCCCCACCCCTAAACACACTTCACCCGCAAATATCTGTTCCTTCCCTGTCCCACAGTGAGTACAGAGGTATGGAGGTTCTGTGGGAGCGGATGGTGCTGTCACTTCAGTCGCGCTTCTGTGTTTAGCGTGCGCAGGGCCAGCACCAGAGGTGGCGGAACGGCATTCCGCCATGTTCCGGCTGAAAAAAAGCACTGATCACAACTAGGTCTTATTTTCGGGGTAGGTCTTATACTTTAGCAATTCCCAAAAATAGCACTAGGTCTTATGTTAGGGGAAACAGGGTACGTGATTTTGTATTTATGGGTAGGGGGCGTGTGTACACCGCCCTACCCGCTTCCATTGACGGCTACAGCTGTCGATCACCAGGTCCCCAGCATGCTGCTTTGTATTGCTCTGCATATCAGAGCAATACAAAGCAGCATGCTTACATTGTAAAGCACACACACACACACAATAGTAAAATGGCACACAGTTAACCCTTTGGTCGCCCCAGGTGTTAACCCCTTCCTGCCTAGTGTTGTTAGTACAGTGTCAGTGCTTTTTATTAGCACTGATCACTGTATTAGTGTCATTGGGGATGTCCGTGGCAGTTAGTGCCCCCCCCCCCCAGTATCAGATTACCCACTGCAGTCCCGCTATAAGTCGCTGAATGCCACCATTACTAGTATTAAAAAAAAAAAAATTCTAGTATATATACCGCCATTTTAGACGCTATAACTTTCACGTAAACCAATTAATTTACACATATTGGGATTTCTTTTAGCAAAGACATGGAGCAGAATACATTTTCGCCTAAATTTATGACAAAATTTGATTTTTTTAAATTTTTTTACTGGGTGTTTTATTAGCAAAAAGTCAAAAATATTGGGGGGGTTTTACCAAAATTGTCGGTCTTTTTTTGTTTATAGCGCAAAAAAAAAAAAAAATGGAGAAGTGATCAAATACCACCGAAAGAAAGCTCCATTTGTGGGGAAAAAAGGGACATAAGCTTCATTTGGGTGCGGCGTTGCATGACCGCGCAGTTGTCGGTTAAGTTAACGCAGCGCCATATTCCAAAAAATGGCCTGGTCAGGAAGGGGGGTAAATCCTCTTGAGGGCAAGTGGGCATGTTTATATATATATATATTACCAGAAATGACCATTTGTCATTGCGAATATTTTAAATCCTGACTGTTTCTGACCAAACTATTTTTAGGCTCACTGATCTGGGGCATGTATGTAGATCGAGAAAATAAGTTAAGTCAGAATCTCTGTTTTTTTTTTTTTTTAACTTGTTCCAGGTCAATTAATTAGAGAGTACCGAAGCCAATGATTAGCATCTGCTAGTCAGACAGCTAGCATTTTTAGAGGAAAAGGTCAATCATGGCATCCTCCTTTCTACTTCAGTACAAATGTCTTTAAAAACCCACCATCAGCCAAAATGTTAAATTGGCTTTCTTGCCACAGTGACAACCGCTTGACCTAGTTCTTGTATGGGTGTCACAGGAACCGGAAGTGAAGGGGGTAATCTACCCCATGGTGTCACAGACTTGACAGAAATTTTAATATTTCCCCACAATATCCAAAATTTAAAAAAAAAATCTGTTTTTAGCATCAAGAATAAGTATCAGTTAAAAAAAAAAAAAGAATAATCTTAATCTCGTATTTGCTCTATATATTTCTGCTGTTGCATAAGGGCAATTAATAGTGGGAATAAGCTCTGCAATTTGACCCTAGTAAGGCATATCTATGCCATTCTATGATATGTTGAAAAAATAGGCATTTTTTTCCTTCTTTGTAGAGTAATCAATAGAAAGAAACTGTCAGTGAGTGACATCTCAGGCTCTGGTTGTTTGTAGAAGGCTGGACAGTATAATGTGTTCTCTTCTTACATCCGTGTAGTGCAGCGCCTGTAACATCTGCAGCAGACAGGGCTGACGGGGTGGCTCTGCTGTCAAGAAAATCTGTTGCATATCCTGCTTGTCTTCAGTCTGTTTAATGTGCTCAACTTTTACTGTGAAGACGTTCAGTGGAGGTTTTCCAAGTCAAACAACTCGCCTGCTATTTAACTGCTTTCAGGATCATATCTCCATAATATGTAAAATCCTCTAAACACAGTGACTACAACTTCAAATTACATGCAGTTAACAGATATACTGTATACACTCATTGCTCTATACAGATGGGTAAACTAAGGTTCTCTTGAACAGCCAGTCATTTAGCTCTACAAAGCCAGGGAAAGGAAGAAAACAATAATACCACCATTATTATTATTATTGTTCTGCAACCTAAATGTACTGCATTTATCCATTATGCATCATAGTAACTGAGACCAGAATCCTGTAAGATAGTGCGAGGTACAATTGCTTCTATCCAATCTCTCTTGGTTAGAGACATTGTCACTTTGCCCATTCAAAGTGACTGTGCTTCCAAATCACCCACCGTCCATCAAGGTATAGTTACCCATCCACGCTTCCTTGCCACATACCTGTTCTGTTGCTCTAATGGAGCAGGGTTTCTGGGTATGGGGGAGTTTGTGACCTGACCATTATGACAATGCTCAGAGATGAGCTACCAGTCACAAACTCTGAATACTGTCACATGGTGTGCATCAGTAGCAACATTCCCCTGGGGTAAGCTTTGATGCAGTAACTTACTCTGGGTGGAATCCTGCCACTGGATGGGGAGTGGAGCAGAAACGGTCACTTTGCCTGAATGCTCAAGGTGACCGTGTCATTTTAATTCTAAATACATATTTAAAATATTTGTGAATGGTATTCTCTACTAAAAGGTTTGCAAACCTGTTCAGTAAGTTTTGTGTTTCAGGCATCCCTTCCAGACTGCACAGCCAGATTGTGGGCCTTGTCTTTTTGCACTAAAATGAAGGCCTAAGTTTAAACAAATTAAAAAAAAAAAGAAGCCTTCCCCCTTCTCCCACAACCCCACAGCTATTATCTTCCAGTGCGGCGGGCATTAATACGAGCTGAGGAGCCTGTCATAGGTACTTGTTCCAACTATACTCACCCTTTCCAATCAATGAAAAGTGATCTGTGGAGAAATGAGACTGATCAGGTGGTTCCAGGGAAAGCAGGCCCTTGCACCTAGCAATTATTTGACCTTTAATGCATTCTAGTTCTATAACGCTGCAAATCATATTGATATTGTTTCTCTATTTTGTCCCTCCAGGCAACCCACTGAAGGACGCTCTCGTGATGGCGGTTTGCGTCTCGGTGAAATGGAACGAGATTGCTTGATTGGTTATGGAGCCAGCATGCTGTTGCTAGAGAGGTTGATGATATCTAGTGATGCCTTTGAGGTGGACGTCTGTGGACAGTGTGGCCTGCTGGGCTATTCTGGCTGGTAGGCAACCTAAAAGATCTTTTTGTGTGTAACTAGTTTAAAGTGACTATGTTGCTACATAAAGTACATTTTTTAAAAATGCTTCCTTTAAAAGAAAAACCTTAATACTTACCTTACTTAATCTGTCCTGCTGCCTATGGAGCCAGTGGATGAAACCACAGAGTCCAGTTGGGAACTAGGCATCTGACATTTCATCAGATGTCAAGAGCTCCCCCACCAACATCAGAAATCAAGAGTGCCCCACCCTCCCTTACATCACGGTGCACCCCCCTCACCTTGTGCTGATGCTGGGAGCTGAGAAGCAGAAAGTGCAGGGTCTGGAGGAGGTCCAGAGGTTTGAAGTCAGCTGCTGGACTCTGCTGGATATAGAGACAAGGGGATGCCAAGGCTGCACAGAGAGGAGCAAGGTCTGCCCTTCTGTCTGCTGCTGGCTGATGAGAAAAGCCTCTCCATGATTGCACAGAGAAGTACGGGATCTGGTGGAGGAGTTCTGTCTTCCTCGCTGCTGCCGACTGCTGTGACGGGGCAGAGACAAGGGGGGTTTCACAGCTGCAGGAAAGCTGCTAGGGCCACGTGAAATGGCCTGGTGGTCTGGATTCGGCCCGCAGGCCTTGTGTTTGACATATGTGTCTTATATAAAAGGAAAACTAGTTATACAGAAGCAAGGTACAGGAGGGTAGAGCAATTAATATAACCTTCCAGCATTCAATTCAATTAGCCGGCAAAGATATTCAAAACATGAAATGTGCAGGAGTTCAGTTCTGCTCCAGTGTTCATATATTGGCTATAACATGTACAAGCTTATGGAAAGTGCAGGACTTTGGGGGGGAAAGTAGACAAACTGTAAATACAGTGTCTGTCACTCAATCACTATTCCACTGTATGTATGTATGTGTGGATCATCTGCTGATGTTTGTTGTTTTCCCAGAATGGTCCAGCCTGACTGTGTGTATCTTTCTTTAGGTGCCATTACTGCAAGTCCTCCTGTCATGTCTCCTCGCTGAGGATTCCGTATGCCTGCAAGTTACTGTTCCAAGAACTGCAGTCCATGAATATCATACCCAGACTTAAACTGTCAAGATACAATGAATGAGAAAGGCTTAAAGTGGACATGTCATTTGTGCACAAGGATGACTACAATTTTAGAAAGCAAGTTTAGCATATTCCCATTGTTCAACTGGAGACCTCACTATAAAAGCCATGCCAAAACTACAGTAACTATTGTAATTCCTTCATAATTAAAAACACCTGTCATTTTGCCCTCTGTAGACACTGGGGAAAATGTTACTGCAGACATATTTTAGATTCCTCTATTCGTGTCTTGGGGTCCATTTACACTGTTCCCCTGCATTGGGGTGCATTGCCACATGTGTTAAACAGTCAGGTTTTGCACCTAAATGTGTGTTGATGTAAGGCAACCCATTAATTTCCCATACGCTACCAGTGTACAACAAAGCAGGTTATAATGGAATTGCAACATTTTTGCTAACATGATATAGCATAATGCACAGATGGTTCATGCGTGTGTTTCGGTGCTCTAAAATGCAGGTGTGTTGTGCACTGCGCAGATGCCGTAGAGTGGCATTCAAAATGGTTGCATACGTTATTGTGCATTGTGGTAAAATGCATGTCCCTCCACAGTACTGCTATGCATCAGTGTGCATAGACATTTAGGGTCTAAAACGACAGACCAAAGCTAAGGGACCAGGATTTTACCAGGCAACCAGGAAAAGGTGCTACCTATGGCAGGCTTATTACTGTTGTTCATTGTGGGAAAAGCCCTGGATAGTACACTGTGCCACTTTTTCTGTAGTCAGTCTCCTGACTAGATCTCATCATAGTTTCCAGTCCATTTCTAGCCTTTTTTTTTTTTTCTTAAGTTGTCATTTTTTAGGACAAATTGTACCCATTTAATGCGATACAGACAGTCCTTAGGTAAGCTCAGGTAATGGGACCTTATCTGACAGCAGTAATCATAACACATTTAACAATTGACTGCATCCTTAGTGTGAAGTGACCTGTGCAAAGTGTTAGAAGTGTCAAAGCAATATGGCAGACACTCACTTTTTTTCATACTTGTTGCTGTCCCTGGCAGCGTTTCCTCAGTACAGACAGTACAAAAGTGTGCATTTCTGTTGCTCACATGTACAAGGTAGTACATTGTTGAGCTTTTGTATTATACCTGTAATATAATGAGGTGTTTAGAAAACACTGTATAACATTTAATGAGAAGTTTGTTTTGTTGGTTATTTATGACAAATGTACAGTCTGCCAATGTCTAATAAACAATATATGTGACCTTTTTTTTTTTCCAATCATTGCTGTTAAATAGGGATGATCTGAGGTTCTAGACTAACTCATGGGAAACTGTCGCATGATAGCAGGCTGCTGGCCCAATCAATATCAGCCGTGAAATTCCCTGAATGTAACAAAGAGTTGGAGATGCCAGTGACAGAATTGACCTAATATGGTCACATGGCCTAATTTGAACAATGTCATTGACTAAGCATGAGCATGTGGCCATATTTGAACAATAACATAAAATAGTGCAGCGCTATGAGTAATGATAGTAAAACAGATATGAGTCCACTTAAAGTCTTGGTCATAAGAACGTGTCCAGTGACAAGTAAGGTTTCAAAGTTGGTGATCCGTGTGGAAACGGCTGAAAAAACGCACTCACCAGAAAAAGGACACATAAACGCAGTGTGCCTCTAGAGCTCATGGATCCTCAATCCAGAAGGGAATAAAGCTGGTCCGGTTACAGGAAAAGTGGATCCCTCCTCTATGGATGCAGCAACAGATCCTCCTCTTCCCAGTTAGGTGTAGGATTCCAAGATCAGGGTTCTGCAAGCTTTATTCCCTTCTGGATTGAGGATCCATGAGCTCTAGAGGCACACTGCGTTTGTGTCCTTTTTCTGGTGAGTGCGTTTTTCAGCCGTTTCCACACGGATCACCAACTTTGAATCCTTACTTGTCACTGGACACGTTCTAATGACCAAGACTTTAAGTGGACTCATATCTGTTTTACTATCACTACTCATAGCGCTGCACTATTTTATGTTATTCTATTTTAAGTATATATCGGTTGCTTAGAGTGCTTAGCCGCTTTCAGGACTAGCGCTCACTGTGGTTTTTTTTCCCTATTTGATCATATTTGAACAATGATATCACAAACATCCCCTCCCCTTTGTTACAAGTCAGGGAATTCTACAGCTCCAGCTGATTGGACCATCAGCCTGTTTTCATGTGACATTTTCCCACAGGCTCAAGCTGAACCGAGTTTAGCCCAAACCTTAGCTAATCCTTGCTGTTAAAGGGGTTGATTAAAGCTATATTTGTTTCTAGTTCATTGTGGAATGCAGAAAATCTTAAACCTTCAGGTTATACTGATGCCTACAGGAGAATTGGGCACTGGCAAACAAAAATATCTAGGCCAGCCAAGGGTGTACCCCCTCCAACTACCAGCATGCCTAATTTTGTTGCTAGTTTCCTAAGAGGATGCATGTCCTTTGTTAAAACTAACCTATGTTGTAAATCCTTGGCCTGTTTGAAGACTCAATTGGTGAGTAGGCCAGTTTGACCAAGCAGCAGGAGCTCCTTCCAAGTGCCATTATTTCCGGCTTCCTACTGGATTTGCTGTTGAAGTTTAATTCTGAGGTACTAACGTTATGCAGTAGGTGGAGTGTCGTGTACGCTTTGTGCTGTCTTTTTCACCATAAAAAATTAAAGAAGCAGTTCCTGGCTGCTCTTCCTGTTGTATAGAGCAGTGGTGGAGTGTCGTGTACGCTTTGTGCTGTCTTTTTCACCATAAAATATTAAAGAAGCAGTTCCTGGCTGCTCTTCCTGTTGTATAGAGCAAGTGGAACTTAATTCCATTCTTGTTGCCTGTGTACAATGACTTTGGTCACCTCTGGTCATCTAACCCTCCAGGATAATGACCATCACCTGCTACCAGCTGTCTGGGGTTTTGTGAATACTTGAGGCAGAGAACCATTTTTGATCATGTATAGGGACAAGGTGGTGTTGAGACATGGGACTTTCTTCTTGCCTAAAGTTCTCTCTGCCTTTCACCTTAACCAGAACATTGTCCTCCCATCCCTTTATCCAGCTTAGGTTTATCAAATGGAAATTTTTCATTCATTGAGGGGCACAGCATCTTCCATTCTCGACCAGAGGGTTATATCACCACCTACAGGAGTAGGACACTAGGCAGAAAAAAGAACTCGGTACCGCCTGTGGGCAGTCCTGGCTGATATAAAACCCCTCTCTGCATAGGCAATCCAGTTTTTCTGTCTAGTGTTCAGGAGTAGTGACCTTGCTCCCTGCTGGGACCTGTAGTTTTATAGGACTTTCTTTTTTTTTTTTTTTTCCTTTCTCTGTTTTTCCTGGGTTTTTTTTCCTGTGGAGATCTTCAGTGAACAGCCAGGCTGGGCAATGGGCTGGATAATATAGATCCAGTGGTCACCCCAGCCGGACCAGCAAGTGCATGCAGATCCTAGTCAAGCATTGAGTGGGCTGCAACGTGTCCCACTCTGGACCGGGGCAGCCAGCGACTTAAATGTCTCGCAGGGGTGCATATGACTGGGCTCTGGACGTCCACATCACAGCACTACCTTGGCCGACAGCCCCCCACTTTGGAAGAGAGGTGGTTCTGTCTCTGGAGCATACGTTCAGCCTCCCTGGATTAGTAAGTAACATTCCCCCCCCCCCCCCTTCTGGGTACAGTGCGAGGCACGGGTGCTCTCTGGTGGGATGGTTGGCCTTGTGGGGTCCCCCCTTCCTGCCAGACCCCTTGTATTGCCAGATTTATTTCTGGGCTCCCCCCCCACTGCCCTATCTTGGTCTGGGCCACCTTCTGGATGCTAGCAATTACCTTGGGGTTGTGTAGCAGTCTGTCCTCCAGCTCTGACAAGTTACGTTGCATTCCTGGCTTGCTGTTAGGGCGGTGAGTGCCATGTGATGCTGCTGCATGGTCCTGTGGCTGGTTCGGCAGGCTTATTGTGTCCTTTTACCGGCAGCCATCTTCTCAAAGACCTTGCTGACACTTTCTTGTAGCCCTGTACCTGCCTGTTCTAATGTATTGGGCCTTGCTGTGCCTGGGCTCCAGGGGGCGGGGCTACAGCAGTCATTTTCTTGGGGTTTGACTTTCCTCCTCTAGCAGCTTAGTCATACATCCTAATAGAAACCTGGGCTTTGGTGGGTTCGGTTTAACCCTTTTCTTGTAGTCCCGCAGCAGATTCTTTGCTACCTCCGCCCATGTGGATCACATAGGTAGCTGTTCCCGGGCATCCTGCTGTGCTGGATATGTGTTCCACATGGTTGCTTGACCTGCTTCCTTTGTGAGGGGACTGCTAGCAGCTCTGCACATGCCTTGTTGGTGGGGAGTCCTGGTGGGGTATCCTCTCTGCTGGCTTTATATTACTTGGTTTTGGGTTTCTTGCGGCTAGTGGGTCTCCCTAACAGTGCCTTCCTAAGGGTTAGGATCCTCCCTTTCCCGTAACGGCACACTCTACCCGGGCACTTAGTGTCTCTTGGGCCTTCTGTCATCAGGCGTCTGTGTCTCAAATCTGCAAGGTGGCTACCTGGTGATCTGTGCACACCTTTACAAAATTTTACAAGGTGGATGTCTTGGCATCTCAGATGCATATTTTGGCCACAAAGTATTGCAGGCAGTTGTTTGAGGTTTCTGTTTACTCTTTGGGGGGGTTTTCTAGTTGGGCTCCTTTGTTAATGTTGAGCTCCTGTTGGCCTGGTTTTGGCCTTGGTTTTTTCTCACCCCTCACTGCTTTTGGGACGTCCCTATGGTTGAGATTGAAAGACGCTGTTCCATCAATGAACGAAAGAGAAAACAGGATTTTTTTTCTCACTCACCGTAAAATCCCTTTCTCTGAGTTCATTGACAGACACCGCACCCATTCCTCTATGAATTGTTTCCTTATTTGCTGACGCTGCTTGTTACTAACTGGATTGCCTATGCAGAGAAGGCATTTATATCACCCAGGACTGCCCATAGGCGGTGCCTAGTTTCTTTATTCTGCCTAGTGTCCTACTTTTGTAGGTGGCGATACAACCCTATGGTCAAGAATGGAAGAC